TGATGAGGAGAAGGAGCTAGTAGGTCTTGTGAGGTGGAGTACTTGGGGGCTCTTTAAAACACACTTGTGACTGCATTAATAGTAATAAACCAGCTCACAGTGACTGCTTTTAATTTGGTTTGGCACCATCTTAAGTGGTTTTCAGTAGCTTCTTTGGTCCAACAATCCTACAACTTAAGGCTGTTTTTATCAGGGCTGTTATCTCCAGTTCCTAAAACACAGACTGGCACACAGTAGGTACTCAATAACCCTTCCTTGGGAAAATAAAGTCCCATTTCTTTGCCTAGGGTTACAGCATTTAAAGGTGAGATGGATGTGACCACAGGCAGCCACCCTCCAGAGCACTCTTTAACCATTCCACTAACCTAAACACTGCCCCTGGGCTCTCAGCACCCATTCTTTCTCTGGGGAGGCTCCTTGACTCAGGGTGTCAAAATCTTTACCACCTCAGGCTGCCCTGCGGCCTTCACAGGTGTCTCCACTCTGATTCCATTTGTTCACTCCTTTGCAAAGCAATGGGCATCCCAACTTACTCCTGAAGATTAAACTCACAAGCTCCTCTTTACATCCTCACCTGAAAAATTAAACTTCCAACTGCCAGAAATACCCGTCCCAGACCCCTCACCTCCCTCTGGCCCCACCCTTTCTTGTCTCTTTTTTCCTTTCTTTAATGAGTCTCTCTGGCTAGACCTCTGGCTTCTCCCTCCTCTTCATCAGTGCCCCTGCACACATCTCAGTTCTGTCTCTGCAGTATTACCCGCATCTGTTTCTAGCTTCCCCAGGCATGTCCGAGAAGACCCAAGTTGGTCTCTGTATCATCCTCCAAACCTGCTCCCATCCACTGTCGCATCAGTAGGTTTCGCCTCCTAGGAAAATGTGATAAGACCTTGGGAAGGGCTCTTTACTCCTTTCTCCCTTGTCATCTCCACAATCCCCCTACCACACAGAAAAAAAACAAAACAGGCTGATGGTCACCACCTCTACTCTGCTTATAGCCACTCCCCTACTTCTGCCATCCTATCCTGGTCCAGTCCTGATTTTCTAACCTCAGTCTCCCCACCCACAGTGGCCACAATCTCCTCAAAGCCAAATCTGACCCTGTTGTCCCACCACACAGAACTCTCCTTGGTTCCCCACTGTCCCTGGTCAACTCCTCAGTCCAACCCTCAGAGCCTTCTGGGATCCAGACCCTGACTTCTCACAAACCCCCCTGAACTTGTTCCAACCAGTTTGATGAAAAGGGAAGGTCCTGACTTCAAGGCCTTGACACCTGTTTTCTCCTTAGTCTAACTCATCTTTCAGGTCTCAGTTCATACATCTCTTCCAGGGAGCCCAGCCTGTCTTCCCCTCTCCCCTTCTCCCCTCTCCCCACCTGTCTGAGTCAGCTCTGAACCACCACTGTTTTATCATCACAGCTCTGATCACTAGTTTAGCTCATCAGTCCTACTGCTCTGACCAGGCTTCACCCATCACAGCCCTGATTCCTCTTGGCCTATGTTACTCACTCCCTGCAACCACTCTGGTCTGTCTGTATCCCGTGGAAGCTGGGACTAGTTCATAGACAGTTAGCCACCAGAAGTGGGGCCTGGGAGTACCTGCCCAGCAAACTGTTGAATAATTTCCGCAAACTTCATTTGTTCCAACAAGTGTCAAGAGTTAGGTGGTGCATGGGATAAAGGTATGAGAAAGTGACTCCATTACATATCCACCTACCTAAACTGCGCGAGTACCGGCGTTAATCCCCTTTCAAGTCAGTCAGGGTGACCAATCAATCACTTCCCCATTCCTCTCCCAAGATACTTGTGGACCCTGTCTTGACTAGGGGTAAAAGGAAGGGACCAGATAGTGGTTGTATGTTCCCTCTGAAAACACCAAGACTGCCATAGCAGAGCTGAGCAGCTGTGTACGATGCTTTCCTAGGCCCAGAGTTAAATAACATTATGGCAGACCTCCACTAGTAGAATGAGGGAGGGGGCAACTGCCCAGTCTCACATCATGGGGGATTCCACGGGGAAAACCAGGGCTGGGGAGCACTCCCCTGAGTGGCAGGATTTGTATCACGGTGGAGCTAAAACATGAAATTCAAAGCTTTGGCTGAAACCGGTTTGGCTCTGTGGTAGAATGTCAGTCTGTGGACTGAAAGGTCCCAGGTTCGATTCCGGTCAAGGGCATGTACATTGGTAGCGGGCACATCCCCAGTAGGGGGTGTGGAGGAGGCAGCTGGTCGATGTTTCTCTCTCATCGACGTTTCTAGTTCTTTATCTCTCTCCCTTCCTCTCTGTAAAAATCAATAAAATATATTATAAAAAAAAAGAAATTCAAAGCTCTGCTTCTGACATCTCTCAGGGAGGGATCAGAAATAGGGCAGGAAGCTGACCCCACTGGATCAAGAAAAGGTTGGTATGGGGAGGGTGGCATCCAGGACAACATCCAAATTTAGGGATTCAAATGCTCTGCTTGGCTGCAGCTGTCTCTGAACTCTACCCTAAGACTCAGACCAGGACTTTATCTGAGGACCATAGAACTGAGGAACTCAGAATCACAGAAGTCTGCCCCAATTGTCCAGTGTGCAATGGGGAGCTCTAGATGGTTGTAAGGAGGGTGAGTTAGTAAGACTGGGTTCTCAGATAGATCCCCTTGGCTGCTATATAAAGGGTGGATCAAAGTAGATTAGGGACAGGGGTCTTGGAGGTAACCAGTGAGGTAAGGGCCCATATGTAGAGGGCCAGGTTAAGGTTGTGAGAAGTCCCCAAGAACTTTGGATTCTAGCTTCCCTCTATTACCTGTTCTCTAGTTTGCCACTGCTCAAACATTATATACTTTAAGCTCTTCAGTCTACCCTGGGAAAACAAAGAGTTACAGGAACATAAGACAAATCGGAGCCAGGCTATCTACCTGCCTTCAAAGCCAGAACAAGGGCCTCTGGGACACAGGCGAGTGTGGTATTGGTAGACAGCTCCAGAGAGAAATGTAGGCGGAAACAACTTCCCAAATACTGTTTAATTCACAAAAACCCGGAGACAAGGAAAAGGTATGTGAATGCCTGGGGCTCAAGCCTAGGAGTGCACGTTGACAACAGCGACATACAAGGCCAGGGTGCTGAGGGCCAGCAGCCCTGTCACTACTGCTCGGGCCAGAAGTGCTGTCCAGCTGCCCAAGGAACAAAGGTGGACGAAGGTCCTGTGAGGAAACATCACAATGAAAGAAGGAAAACAGATAATCCATCCCCTTTTGGACCCATCCTTGAATCCCACCCAACTCACTCCATGACAAAGGCCTTATAGACGCTGAGGAACATCAGCAGGAGGACAGCTGGCCGGAAAGTATGGTACAGGTCGTAGCGGGTTATCATCCACACCTGGGCAGATGCAACGATGTAATGGACCTGAAGGGGGGCAGGAAGTCAGGGCCAAGTACTGGGGATAAGTACTGCCACCAGCAAAAAGATGTGTATGGGACAGTAGCACTGCCTACCAGACTGATGTTGGAATCAATGCTCATCTGGATGTATTTCCAGTCAAATTCAATGCCCCGGGCTCCAACCCAGAGGGGGATGCAACTGAAAAAGGCAAAGGGGAGGATTCTCCAGAGCCCAGAAACCCTCAGCACCCAGAATCTGAGATCTCACCCTCCAGAATCTCTCTGAAACCCAGTTGTTCTTTCTCAGGAACCTGCACACACCGGGACATAATGAGCTCTGCAGTGGCCCAGCCCAGGGCAGCAACCATAATCTTGTACTCCCCTTTGCCGGCATTCCGAGACATGACAAGGTTTAGGCCTACTAGGTCTGCCACATCCACGCTGGCCTTCATGAACTCCTGTGGGTCAGGTTAAGGCTTGAGTAAGTACAGATGTCAGGAGGCCTTACTTGTGCACTCCCTCCCCGATTCCTTGTCCCACTCACCCCAATGAAGTCATAGATGCCGCCTTCCCAGGTGGGAAAGAAAGTGGCCAGGAACAACATCTGAGAACAGAAAACAGAGGTCACCTCAAGGTATGGGAAGTTAGTGTGTACGGTCCTGGGGTTTTCATATGGAGAGGGACCACCAGTTGAGGGGGCAAGATTACAGGACCGGTGGAGATGCAGGGAAGAAGCCTGGAAGCTTTTCTGTGGTGATCACAGGGTCAGACCTAGAGGTGTGTGGGCTGGCCGCGACCAGCAGCATTTGCAGCACCGGGTGGTGGTTAGTGGTTCTTAACCATACAAAACCCCTTCAAACGATATCACCGAGTTTTCTCAGTCTTACAAAAATAGCTATGCAAAAGCTGCTTGCAGCGCCTCCTCAGGTCCCACCCTTCCAGAGCCCATCTTCTATGGGTAGAGTTGAGGACCACACAGCGCGGTCTGGGCAGGGTGGAGCGCTAGGTCTGGCGAGCCTGGGGCCAGACGAGCGGCTCTGGGCGCCCTCACCTTGCACAGCTGCACGAAGAGATAGGTGACCCCAGCCTGGACGCACTTCCAGAAGGCATTGTACTCGGACCTGCAGGAGCCGGCCGTGAGGGCTCGCCCGGACCCGCGCCCCCCGCCCCGCGGCCGCCCCGCACTCACAGGCCGCTGCACTTGTAGGTGATGAAATAGGGGAAGTAGGCCAGCGCGAAGCAATTTCCGAAGTGAAACAAGGTCATGGCGCCGCCCCCGCCCTTCGCAGCGCAAGTCTCTACCTCGCCCTCCAGACACCTGAGCCCGCGCTGGGCGACCCGGCCTCCGCCGCGGCCCGCGCGGCCTTCTGGGAGCGGAGTCCGACGCGGGGCGCTGACGTCACGAGCTGCGCCCGGGCGCTGAGCGCGGCCCCGGAGCCTGCGCCGGCGCGTCTGCCCCGGAGGATCGGCGCCGGCCCTGTGCGCCTGCCGCAGGAGGAAGTGGGGACTCCCCCCCCCCCCCCCCCCCGAACGGCGCGAGACACGGCGCAGCTGTGAGCACGTTTTTATTTCGCTTGTGGCCCACGGGCTCTTGGAGAGGCGGAGGTTCTGGACTGGCAGCGCAGGGGAGTGGAAGGGCTTCACTTGTTTCGGCTATACATGTGACGGACGAGGTCCACCACCCGGTGACTGTAGCCGAATTCATTGTCGTACCTGGGAGGGCGGTAGAGGGTTAGGGGATCCCTCCCCATTACCCCCAGCTCCCTGTGTTCTCTGACCCGCCCCCCTTACCAGGAAATGAGCTTTACGAAGTTGTCGTTGAGCGCGATGCCCGCTTTAGCATCGAAGATGGACGAATGGGTATCGCCGATAAAGTCCGTAGAGACAACCTGGGTGTCAGAATTTCTGAGGTAAGTTTGGGTCGCAAAGACCTCCTGGAGTCCAGGTTCTGACTCAGGCATATTGGCTATGCGTTCATCTACAATATTTGGTGGAGTCCTACTGTGTCCAGGCTGTGGGGATGGGATATGAAGAAGGCAAATGGGGGCTTTGCTGGTGGGGGACTGGCCAAAGGACACAGACCACAAACACCCTGATGCTGCACCAATACATATTTCCTGGGAATAATTCAGGCACTTGGAATGGGGCTGGCACAGAGGCCCAAGTGGGGGCAGCAAGGCTGAGTTTGGATGACTCAGGCTCTCAGCAGACCTGAGGTAAAAGGAGCTGCAGCACAGAGGCTGCGAGGGTTTTGGCCCTGGTGTGGAAGGCCTCAGGAAGGTTTTCTGCAGTGGGGGGAAGGGGATGTGATCTGATTTCATTTAAACAAGAGGTCCTGTGGCTGTGTGAGGGTGGACTTGCAAGGAGCTAAACCAGGGAGATAGCACCAGAGATAGTACTACTGGGAGCAAAGGGACAATGACATCTGTTTTTCACAGGGAAGGTGCCTGCCCATGGCCTGCCCTGAGCAAGTGTTGAAAAATGGTGTATTTTGTCTTGTTTAGGAAGCATGTATTGAGCCTCTGCTGCATGCCAGGCCCTGGGACGATGGCTGGAGCTATGGAAGTGAAAAGATAGTCCCCAAATCCTCGCCTTATTGGAGTGCACGTGCTAGCAGGACCAATCGTGACTGAAATGGAATTTCAGGTGAAGAAAGGGGCCACAAAAAGAACGTCTTGCTGAGGAGGGAGGCTAAAGTAAAGAATTGGAGGTGAGGGCAGATATATGGCCACTTGGGGGAAAAGCTTTCCAGACCAAAGGAGCAGCAAGTGCAAAGATGCTGAGGCAGGAGATCTGACTCTCCCAGCCCTGCAGTTCCTGTACATTGCTCCTTGGCAAGTGGGAAGCCACGCTCTCTCCCAGAGGATTCCCCCAGGGTCTCTTCTCAGTCCCTACCTCATCCTCGGTGTAGGCAAGTATGCCAGCCATTGGTCCCTTGGCTGCTGCTTTTATGGCATCTTTGATGGCTGAGTATGTGGTAGGCCGGGCTAGGCGGCAGGTCAGGTCCACAACAGACACGTCTGGGGTTGGCACCCGGAACGCCATTCCTGTCAGCTTCCTGGACAGTTCCACATCGAGGTGGAAGTCAGAACCCACAGACTTCTCCATCTGTCCCTCTCACCACCGCCTTCCTCTCATTAGATACCTCAAGGATTGGGGCCCGTCTGCTCTTCCCAGGGTGTGCCTCCCACCCTGGTTGCAGCTTCCTGCACTCATACCCTTTGAGCTCTGGGATGACTTTGCCCACGGCGTTGGCAGCCCCTGTACTGGCTGGGATGATGTTCTGGTGGGCTCCTCGTCCATCTCTCCAGGCCTTCTTTGATGGCCCGTCCACTGTCTTCTGAGTGGCCGTGTAGGAATGGACTGTGGTCTTGGGGAAGAAGAAGGCCGAGGTGAGGCCTTCCTGCTCGTAAGTTCCTATGCCTCTTTAATTTAGGTCTGAAGTGATGAGCCAGGTGTAGAGGTTGTGAGGCCACCACAGAACCCTGGAGGGGCACCTGCATGCCAGGGTTCAGCCTTGCCGAGTTACACAGAATTTTAGAAGACTCCACCCCTGGTGGGCCTTTCCTCTTGAAACCAGTTTTTTTCTACTAAAGTCACACACTAAGCAAATCCTGAGAGGAAGAGGTACCGTTTTCCTGCCATCCATCCTGCCCAGCCCTCTCCCCAACTCACCATCAGTCCTTCCACAATCCCGAATCGCTCATGAATGACCTTGGCAAGGGGGGCCAGGCAGTTGGTGGTGCAGGATGCATTGCTGAAACAGCCCGGTATGCAAGGGAACTGTGAGGTGAGTGTCAGAGCCACTCTTCCTCATTTGGGGGATATGCTCATAGGCTTGGATTTGTGAAAAGTCAGGATGGGGATGAGAAAGATCACTGGGGATGCCTTCAGACTAAAGGAGGCACCGGAGGTGCAGCTGGGGGAAGCCCCCCAAGCATATTCTCCAGAAGTTGTGCATTTCTAACAGTTTTAGGAGGATGTTAACATAGTGACTGTTAAGACTTGGGGAGGGAGAAGCAGATGGAGATGTGAAAGAGGCACCAGTGGGGGTGGAGGTGGGGTCGGGAGGCTGAGTCTGATCCCTTTCTATCACAGGCTGGCATGTTCTCTGGACATCACCCACCCACTTCTGGATGTTGCTGCCCGTTACCTGACAACTTTCATGGAATCATGATTATAGTCCTTTTCGTTCACCCCCATGACAAACATGGGTGCATCTGGTGAGGGTGCGCTGATGACCACACGGAAGGCACCTGCCTGGATGTGGTTCTAAGGAAGGAGGAAGGAGCACTGGTGTCATGAATTGATGAGATGCTTTGAGTGTCACACCCCCAAACCAGCCCTGCCCACTTCTCCCGCACTTACAGAAGCTTCCTCTTGGGACAGGTACACTCCTGTGGACTCTACCACATAGGGGCTCCCGACAGATTTCCAAGGGATCTCTTTGGGCTGCTTACTGTAGAGAGGTGGCAGGGCTATGTATCAGTCTCCCTTGCATGGCCTTGCCTTCATAGTCCCTGGCCTTTACTGTTTGAAAGGCTGACTAGACACCTTCCCACCTGGCCTATAACCATCTCTTCTCCCCACCCCACATATAACTTAGCTATCCCAGGTAGATTTGACCCTGCTAGTCTTGCCTCTTGGCAGCTTGCTGAGGAGGGAGGCTGAAAGCTTTCCAGGCCAAAGGAGCAGCAAGTGCAAAGATGCTGAGACAGGAGATCTGACTTTCCCAGCCCTGCCATTCCTATCTTGATACATTGCGAACAGCTCTTGTGGGCTACTACCTTGACTGCCTTTCCCCTGCTATGCCCTGCTATATATAAGTTGCCACCTCCCCTACTCAGACTCAATCACCCTCTGTCTCCAGGGGACCACTCCTGACTATGGCCAACCAGGTCAGTCCCTTTCTACATATGTTGCCTAGAATGTAGACTCCAGAAGAGTGAGGCCTGCTGCACTGCTTCTGATTCCCTGCCCTCACAACCTCACCGTGGCCCTCTTTGCCTCTTGTCTCTGTCACTCAGCTTCTGCAACAGGGAGCCTACTGCCAGAGGCTGAGCAAGTCCCTGAAGACGGGCACTACATCCTGGGAGCAATGGGGAAGAGGGGTGGAACTGTAGTCTCAGGTTACCCTGGGATCAGCAGTGGTTACTATTTTACATCAGAAAGATCAAGGCCTTTTTGGTTTCCACTTTTATAAATTTACTAGAGGCCCAGTGCATGAATTTGTGCACAGGTGTGGTCCCTCGGCCTGGCCGGCAATTGAGGCCTATTGGGGGACTGGCCGGCTGGGAGAAGGGGCTGCAGGAGGTTGGCTGTGGTAGTGCACTGACAGTCAGGGGGCAGCTCCTGTGTTGAGTGTCTTCCCCCCTAGTGGTCAGTGTGCACCATAGCAACTCGTTGACCGGTTATTCATGTTGTTTGGTTGTAACAGTTGCTTAGGCATATATATATATATATATATATATATATATATATATATAAAATTTTTTTTAACTTGGTAGTTTTATCTAAAGTTTGCATTTGGAACATTAAATATTATTGCTCTTCTTGGTTTGTATATGAGTCTTTTTCTTCACAGGACTTATCACAACTGCAGTATTTGCTTTTGTGATTTTTTGTTAGCATCTATCTCATCTTTTAGATCACTCTAAAGGCAAAAGGGTTATGCCTATTTCCTTTGTCATTGAGCCTGCTTCCTCCAAAGAGGTTCAGATAGTGTTTGTAGTGTTATTTTTTATTAGCCATCTACACATGTTTACTGAACACCTGCCATGTGCCCATGTTCTAAGTGCTTTGCCTTCACTGAATCATTTAACCTCACACCCTTATTGGCATTCTCTAGAGAAGCCAGGGCAGAGGTGAAGGGGTAGGAGACAGAGCTGGCTGGAAGCACAGATAGGTTGGTCCTAAGATCTGTACTGGCTGCATACCAGATTAAAGGAATGAATGAGTAGCTTCCTCTCTTCTCCCTGGGCCACCACACATGGTTCTCTTTTCTTGGTCATCTGCCCTATCAGGTCATACTTTTCATCATTTGACTCAATTACCTCTTTTGTGAGGTGCCCCCCATGTCCTGCCTTCTGAGTTAGGGAGGAGGGCTACTCAACAAACTCCTCTGCAACAGTGGTTAAGTTGCTACCTCAAAAGACCCAGCCCTTTTCCCTAGACTGTTAGGCCCTGCCTTCCTGCCCAGGGTCTTGTTTTGAGGATTCCATTCATTTATTCAAGGAAGTACTGAGTATTCCCAGAGCCAGGGTCTGCACTGTGGGATAGGATTATTCCTGCAAGGAGGCTGTGGCCTTGTGGGAAAATGCCCTTCTCAGTGCTCCCTACATGACTGTTTAACTTTGGCTGTGCTACGTGCAATGGATCTGATCCCCACCCCATCAGTTACAAGAAGAAATAGGCTCAAGGAAATTCACTTCCCTAGCCCAAGGTTGCCTGTCTAGAAAGGGTGGAGCAGGGTAAAGTACATCCAAAAGCAACATCACTTTTGTGCCTGGGAACACCCACAGTGTAGTGACAGTGGGGTGGCGGGGGGAATAACCACTGCAGTGACCTGACAAGGCAGAACCTGAGTAGGGGTTCACAGTGATTGGGAGAATGCTGCAAGTGGCAGGAACAACGGTGCCCAGGTTGAGGAAGGAGAGGACATGGTATGTCTGAGTAATGACCTCTGTGCCAGAATTGTTTTTGGTTATGATTTCAAACTTGGGTCAAGAAGCTTCTCTCACCCATGTTCCAATCCCCACCTCCACTCCTTCTCTGCACCGAGCTCTGACCACCTAACCATTTCCTTGTCCCTCATTTATTCACATCCCACAGCACCCCAATAAATGAGAGGGGCTGGGAGTGGATCTGCTGGGAGGAGCGCAGGGAAGGCTTGTGAGCATGCAAGCACAAGTATATGTCAAACCAGGGCCAGCAGTGGCCAGTAATTTACATTAGAAATATGAAGTAGGTTCACTATTTTCCATTTTATAAATTTTTAGTTTTCTTAATGTCTTTGGAGCATATTAAACATCTAATAATGGGGCAAGAGGTGGATGGTCAGTGTAGCTGAGATGACATTAGAAGGCTCAGGCATAGGGCTCATAGTGCTTGTGGGGCCCTATCAGGAGCTGGGATTTTATTTGTGGGTTAATGGGAGGGTTTAAGTAGGGCAGTAATGGCTCAGTTGACGTTTTTAAAAAGGCCACTGTGGTTGCTGTGTAAGAACCGAGTAGAAGCACTTGGCCAGATGGTGATGTCACTTCCTGGGAAGGGAGAGGAATAAGTTTGGAGGTTGATGGAGAATCAAGAGGTGCGTTTTAGACATATTGAATTGATATGTCTGTGCGAAAACTTGCAAATGTGCATTAAATCAAAAGTATTACTGAAAATAGGGGGGCATCTTTCTAAGTTAGTGCTTCCTAACCATTTTAGCAGTCACAGACTTCTCTGAGACCTCCTTTTCAAACCAGTATCAAGACACACACATGCTGAGGGGTTATGAATCCCAAGTGAGAGGCTGGGATCCCATTCTTGTCATCTTTACACCCCCTTCATTAATTTGTTGCAGGCATGCATCAGACAGCTGCCCTTACCACTGGAAGACACTGATCTCCTGTTTATCCACAACCAGCCGTCCATTCTTGTATTCCACAGTTCCCTTGTATCGGCCATGGGTGGAGTCATACTTAAACATGTACACCTGTGGGAGACAGAATGGCTCTTGATCTTGGGGGAGGCAGGGTTAGGGGAGCAAGCATCCCTAAGGAATCCCTGCCTTGGTGAAGGTTTCATATTGCAGCTGAGAACCTTCCAGAGAGCACCCCTGAACCCCCAGGTCCTACCCTTTACCTGCTACTCACCATGTATTCCGGGTCAATGAATGGATCATTCACTGCTACCACCTTAACGCCTTTCTGCATGCAAGCTCGCAGCACCAGGCGGCCGATGCGTCCAAATCTGTCCAGGATAGGGGTTGTGGGATTGTCTTCAAAATCCTCAGCCAGCAGGCAGAGGAGGGGACAGGAAAGAAGGGGGTAACAGGAGGCTTCTCAAGGGAACTGGGTGGGACTCATCGGTCGGGGAAGAAGGCAACCAACCCTTTGCAGGCAGCTATCACCTTGCTCATGATCTCACCAGCTTAACTGATTTGCCCTCTTCCTCACCCATCCACCCTTTACCCCATTCCTAATCGTGTAGCTGGATTGATTTTTCATAATTATGTCTCTTGGCCTGAAAACCTCCACAACCCTATCAATAAAACCAGATCCAAATTCTTTACCATGGCTTACCAGGCCTGTCTGCTTTCCACCACACTCCTTCCTCTTCTGCCTTGTTTGCTCCACAACAACACTGAATTGGTGCCTGTCCTTTGTACGCTGCACTGCCACCTCTACCTCCAAGCCATTGTTTCTGCACAGCTGCCACTCAGGCTTCACTCCAGTGTCACCTCCCAGAGGTCTTTCCTGACACCCCAGCTAACACTGGCCTCTTCAGTCTTAAATATACTCCATACTGTTCATTCACACATCACCAAACCAAATGATCCTTAGTTGATAGTTGTTTTTCCCATCAGAATAAGCAAAGCCCTGTCTGTTTACTCCCCCCCCACCCCCCACCCCCCCTCCAGCATGCACAAAATGAAAGCATTGATGGTGAGAAATGTGGAGATGTCCTATTCAGTAACTGGAGGAATGCCTGGGCCCTACAGCTTCAGGAAGGCTTGGAGGTCAGGGCTGACTTACCCATTGATGCCAACAGTCAGTTCCCGAATCGCAGAAGGCTTCTTAGTTAGAGGAGGTGGAAGAGGTAGAGAAGGAGGAGGAGGAGGTGGAGGAGGAGGAGGTGGAGGAGGAGGAGGTGGAGGAGGGGCTTCCTCCTTGATAGGCTCTGGCTCTGGCTCTGGTTCTGGTTCTGGCTCTGGCTCTGGGTCTGGCTCTGGCTCTGGCTCTGGCTCTGGCTCTGGCTCTGCCTCAACTTTTTGTGGTGGTGGCGGCGGCGGTGGTGGTCTGATCACTGTTGGGAGGAGTGGGGTGGCAATGAACTGCACAATCACAGTGAGAGAAAAGGAGCCGTATTTCCCAAACCTACCTGATCCACAAAATGAATAGAGGATGGGCTTGCTTTAAAATATCAGTGCCAGGGCCCCTTCCCTGGTGATTCTAATTCAGTGGGTACTATGTATTTTTAACAGTTGCTTGGGTGACACTCTGTGCCTCAGTTTTCTTTCTAAAATGGAGATAATAGTACTCTCAGAAGGTCACTGTGAGGATTAAATGAGATGATAATATATGTAGCGCTTGTGACAATAGTTTGGGAACATTCAGCATACATTAGTATTTCGAAGACCTTTCCCCAAATGGCTTGATAATTCATGTAGCCCAGTGGTCTGTGCCTCCTAGGGAAATCTGACTCAGTAGGTCTGTTTTGAGCTCAAGTGTTTTTAAGGAACACTTAAGGTGATTTTTTAAAAATTTAATAAATCTTTATTGTTCAGATTATTACAATTGTTCCTCTTTTTTCCCTCCATAGCTCCTTTCCACCAGGTTCCTACCCCACCCTCTGCCCTTACCCCCTCCCTCCACTGTCCTCAACCATAGATGTACGATTTTTGTTCAGTCTCTTCCCACACCCCCCACTCCCCTTCTCCCCGAGAATTGTCAGTCCACTCCCTTTCTATACCTCTGATTCTTTTATATTCACCAGTCAATATTGTTCATCGGATTTTTTATTCTCTTGGTTTTTAGATTCATTTGTTGATAGTTACGTATTTAAGGTGATTCTTATCCTCAGAAAAGTTTAGGGAATACAGATGTACCAGAACATAAAACAAACGGAGATCTTTATCAGCTTCTGGCTTTCTAAACACACACTCTCACTCCCTTATTGCATATTCAAACACCTGTGGTTGGAGGTGTACTATCTGAGCTCCAGGTGAAGGTTTGAGAGGAGGGGAGATGTGGAGACAGCAGTCAGCGGTCTGCCTGGCAGAGGGTTTCACACTGGAGATCAGGTCTGGTTGTCATCCCTGGCTCAACTACTTGGCATCTGGCCTTGTGCAAGTTAATGAACCTCTCTGACTTACTTCTGGTCATCACATCAGAACTCTCCTTGTAGGCTTTTGGGAGGACTCAGTGAAATCTCAAGTGCTGATTTTAATACAGGAGAGGAAGTCTGATACTAAGTATTGATGAGGAAAGGGAGAGAAGGGGATGGAGAGAGCCCCGAGGATGAAGATGGGAGTTGGCTTTGGCACGACTAGAATCTAAAGCACCAGGGAAGTGAAGTGGCTAGGAGCCAGGGCCAGCTGGCCTGCTGTCTCCCTGACCTCTCTGGGCTGCCACAGACCTTGTGGCCTGAAGCTGGGCTGTTTGCAGTAGAAGTACAAGTTCATAAACGTATTAAGTCTTTATTGGTGGCAGAGGCCCTGTGATTATTGGTGACCTTAGGATGTTTACATTCCTTGGGGTTCTGTTTCTGCTAAAACAAAGGATATTTGTCCATCTGGATTACAAGTAGGGATGAATCCACACCTCTACCTAAAACTCCCAACTTCCCTCAGCCTTCCCCTCCACTCTAGGGGTGGGTCCCGGGCTGGAGAAAAGTTGCTATGCTGAGCGGGTGAAGCGCTGTCAGGTGCGCTCTGCGAATTACAGTGACGGTGCTGTGCTGAGCTCCATGTGCATCGGCTTACAGAATCCTGCGAGACTTATGCTACAAATCCACTTTACAAAGGGAAACCCAGGCCCGAGAGCCGGGACCAGCAGCCAGCGGGCTCAAGGCCCCAGAGTGGCACCTAAGCCCGGGCCACGCCTAGCCAAGCCCCTTGGGGAGGAGCTTCCTGTCTGTTTCTCACCACCACCACCACCACCACCACCACCACCACCACCACCACCACCACCACCACCACCACCACCACCCCCCCCCCCCCCCCCCCCCCCGCTCCAACCCGAACTGAGGAGGCCCGGAGGGAATGTGGTTGCCTCCCAAAGACTTGGGCTCCTTGGGTTGGAGAGTGTGTGTGTGTACATGTACATTTCCAACTGGGTGAAGTAGGGCTGCCCAGTGGTTGTGAGCGGGACTCCAAGTCCCAACTGTACGATTCTAGTGGGAGAGACCTAAGGAAAGTGGTCTGCGCTCTCCGAAAAGGGAACTAAACATGCTGACCTCACTGTGTGGTTGTGAGGCTTCAATAAGTGCACGCTAGTGAAGCGTTGGGCACAGCCCTGGGAGGTTGCAAGTGTCCTGGCTTGGTGCCATACAGGGAGGGACAAAGCCCGCCATCTCCCAAGCGTCAATTTCAGGTGTAACCTCCCTCCCGGAGCTTCTCAACCCCAGAGGCTGACCACAGAACCGCCCCCTCTTAAACTCGGCTCCTGCTTCCATCCCAGCCCCTGCTCCCAGCCTTCCACCACAAGCGTGAGATGGAAACCACTAGGCTAGCAAACTCTGGTGGTCGACTGGGGAGGGGTGGCTGGGGGTGGGAGGAAAGCTGGATGGAAGAGCCGGTTGGCCAGAGTGCGCCTCCTGCCCTCTTACCGACATTCTATGAAGGGGACTCCGACCCAGCGAGCTGTTCCCATCCTCCCTCGCCCCCACCCGCCCCCTTCCCAGCGGGCTCCTCCGCCTCCTCCCTCACCGGGACATGGCTTTCGTAGCAGCTGGACCACGGTGACATTGGTGAGGACGATGTCGCGCTTCCGCATGGCCTCCTAAAATTTCATGGCCTGGCTGCCCAGGGACTCGCCGCGATGTTACTGCGAGCGGGGATGTTACTGCGGCGCGGGGCGTGGGGCCAGCGGGGCAAGAGCTTTCTGCCGTGACGTCATAGTCCAGTGACGTCACAGAGGCAGTGGCGCAAAGGGTCCATCCCATCCCAGTGGGGGTGTGCTGTCTGCACATTGTGCACCACCATTCCAATGCCACCGCTAGTGTCTAGAATGGAATACAACTTTTTACACTGGCCCTCAAAGCCATTCTCTCTCTTCCTAAGCACACTGGCTTCGCACTGTTCCTGGATACACATCCCGGTTCCCGCATAGTTCTTTTATGCCTGGAAGCCCATCGGAGGCCTCCCCTCAGCTGGCTGCCTCTTAGTTTCCCTCAGGTGTTGCCCTTTATTTAAAAAAATATGTTTTTATTGATTTTAGAGAGAATGGAAAGGAGAGGACGAGAGAGAAATGTCAGTAGGTTGTCTTGCACACATCCCTACAGGGATCAAGCCCACAACCTGGGCATGTGCCCTGATAGGGCATAAAACCAATGACCTTTTGGATGATGCTCAACCAGTTGAACCACACTGGCCAGGGATCAGGGCAGGTGTTAACATTTAAAAGAGACCCTCCTGACTCTCTATCTAAACTTTTCTTCTTTCTCAGTCACTACCTGCCATCATCCTCACCCCCTCAATGTACCCAACTTTCAGGAAGCCTGTCTGACTTCCCATTCTAAGTTGGCTGTTCCAAGTCTAAAACTATTCCAGAGTTATGCTATTCTTTTTATTTTCCTCACAGCAAATGTCTCTAAACCCCATTCTTTTCCTTGTGGCTTTCCATGTAGTTTGTCGCTACCTAGTTTTGATTTACTTGTTCATTGTCACCCACAAGGCATGCATTCTTGTTAACCCCTGGGTCTCCAGCACCTAGAACTGTGCCTGGCACAAAGCAAGTTTCCACAAACAATTGGGGAAGAACAAATAGATAGATGGTCCTTTTCCCCTAAAGCACCGCGGGTGGGAGCTTGCTTGCACATCCATGACTCACAGATAGGCACCTGCAGGGCCAGTTGACACACAGTTGTGACCAAGATTTAGGGGTGTGGGGGTTTGAGCCAGGAAGGAGTCACCATCCCAAAAAGAGGTGTGGAAAACAAGAAGGGGCACAATGATATAACCTCCTCCCCAAACCTCCTGGGAACTCAGTTTACTAAAGCAGCTACCATGGGTTAGGGTGAGGGTGAGGCCTTCCTGCTTGGATGGCCCGGGAGAAGTGGAAATGAAACTACTATATTGGGTATACATACAGATAAGGAGATTTCAATACCAAAAAAAGATAGTGATTAAACAAAGGGGAACAAACTTTACATGTATGATTAAGAGTGGTGGAAAGACCATACAAATAAAACCAGAACTGAAAAGGGACTGATTTTTGTATAACTTTATAATAATAAATATGAAATGCTTGATGAAATAAAAATATTTCTTAGAGAATATAAAGGATCAAAATTGGTACAAAAAGAAATGGCAGGAAAAAAAAAAAGGCAGATCTGAGTAGGCCAATAATAAGAGACAAAGAGTTAAGATCCCAAAGGCTGATTCAGATCCTGATTTTATGGCAAGATCTGCCAAAGCATCAGGAACAAATATTTGCCAGACTGTAGGAAATGCTGCTGATCCTAACCAGAGCTGGAAAGCCTGCGGCACCTCCTGTGCAGAGAGGCTCTGGGCAACAAATGTTCAGAGGCCCTGCAGATTAGCATGCACACGGTGTACTTTCATGGCAAACTTCTTGGGATTCTTGGGGGAGCTGTGATGGTTCTGTGACTGAAAGCTCCGCCACTCACTCTAGGAAAGCAACATAACCACACAGCCAAAATCAGCAGAGGATGGCAGGCCAATGTCACAGAAGTAGATGCCAAAATCCAAACCAAACAGTGGCCAATGGGAATGGAGCACTGAGGAGGGGGCCTGAGGCTGACAGAAGATGGTAGGGCAGGGCAGAGAGATGCGTGGAAAGAGAACTGGAGAAACCCCACCTGTCAATCTCACGGAGGATTAGGATTCTGGAGCTCCCCACCCAGCAATCTCCTGGAATGGGAAACTCCCTCATTTAGGCACTAGACAGGGCAGAAAAGC